AGATACGTGCGATACACCGTTAAATATAATCAAAGTTCACGTTTAACGAGTAATCTAGGGTTTTTAACGTTCGAAGTAATTGTACAATTAGACTTGCGTATGAGTTTCACGGAAACCATCTGATAGTAGGATTTTATGACGCGTAGCGTCGCGACGCATCGGATCATTAAGTGTTGTGGACCCACTGCACGAAAGCAAGGTTTAACGACAGTATTGGCAAAAACAAATCTTTTTATTTCTAAACCGATTCAATTTTCATATGAAAATATTTTACAGTGCTTACAACACAAAATCACTCTATTTAAACATTGCTGTTTCAAGCGTATTTCAATAATTTTTAATACGAAAAATAATCAAAGAGAAAATAAATAAAATGTTGTAATCTACAATATTCTTTTTACGAATTCAAAATAATATTTTACAATTAAAGAATTGTTAAATGAAAGGGTATTAGTTGCAATATTTTGTTATAAATTCGAGACGATATTCGTCAACGATGAAATTGTTGAATAAGAAGGTATTAGTTGTAATACTTTTTTAAAATTTCAATATAATATTTGACATCGAAGAAAAGGTAATAAATAAGGAAATATTCTTTTTACAAAATGAAAATGATATTTGACAATGAAAGAATTAATAAATATAATACTATTAGTTATAATATTTATTTTATAAATTCAAGATAATATTCAGCAGCGAAAAAATAAATAAATAAAATACTATCAACAGTAGTATTTTTTTTTTAAATTCAACAAAATATTGAAAATGAAAAAATGAATACTATTAGAGTAAAATACTACTAGATATTTTGTTTGTCAACCTAAAATTTCTGATCCAAAACAAACTGCATTTTTCAGAATGTACATACATATTTATAAAAATAAATAAAGGATATTACATTATCATTAAATATTGCATTACTTTTTATTTTCGATAAAGTTAATTTGAGAGAGTTGAAAAGCAAAACGAAAATCAGTTCATTTCTATTCTGCTTATTATTACAAAATGTAGAAAAATTTATAAGTAATGATAAGCATAAACACAAATAAGTAAAAAAAAAATAAGAAAATAAATAACATCATTTTGAATTAAAAAGTATTGAACATTAGCTTAATATAAATAGCTTTATTACCGAAATATTGAATTACCTTTTCATTTTGTAGCACATATGATGAATTCATAAAATTATATCATCCACCGAGTAATTCCAGTCAAATTGCATTTATAAAATCTGTGTTACGGTTGATGAAATACGGTACGGGGTTCGTGACGTTCCCGTATAAACGTTCAAAGCCCCATAGGCCTGGGTACACGTGCATCGAATAAACAAGCTATGTAACGCAAACGAAATTCGCACGAATTGTTTCTATCGTTCGACGAAATGTGAATGCGCCATTCTTATGTTCCGTTTATCTTTAGACCGAAGCTATAATTCCCTTCGGAAAGAAAGAAAAATTTTGCTTTGCAGCTGTTCCGATACCAATTAAAATTTACATTTCGTTTTAACAAAGTACGTACGTTTTTTTCCGTGAATTTTGCTGAGAAATTGTTCAAGTTTTTATGGTAGTGATTTTGTTTCAAGTTGTAACGCTGCTTTTTTGTGGGTTTTATGAATTTGTTCAATTTTGACATTCTGAGATTTTCGATTTTTCAGTTTTGCGGATTTACATGTTTTTTATGTCTTAAAATTTCTAGATTTGTGACATTTCAAATATTTCTAAATTTCCATGTTTTTATATTTCCAAATTATCAAATTGCCAAATACCCCAATTTCCCAATCCCCGAATTTCCAAATTTTCCAATTCCCTAATTTCCCAACTCCCTAATTTCCCAATTCCCTAATTTCCCAACTCCCTAATTTTCCAATTTCCCAATTTCCCAATTTCCCAATTTCTTAATTTCTCAATTCCCTAATATGTCTTAAAATTTCTAGATTTGTGACATTTCAAATATTTCTAAATTTCCATGTTTTTATATTTCCAAATTATCAAATTGCCAAATACCCCAATTTCCCAATCCCCGAATTTCCAAATTTCCCAATTCCCTAATTTCCCAACTCCCTAATTTTCCAATTTCCTAATTTCCCAACTCCCT